TGCCCTACAAAGCCACTTGCCCGTCTTTCCTCCAAAGAGGCTGCTCCTCTCTGGTTATATAGGATTTATCTGTAATAAGCTTTCTTGGTACAAGTGAGGCTTCCTCCAAATCCCAGAAAACTCTTCTGAGTGTCTTCTGTTTCTAGTCCAATTGCAGCCACATGTGGTCTGTAGAATCGAGATATCTGATGTGTTCTATGTGAAATATAGTGGATGTGAGATGTGCCCTTCTGGACATAGGCGGGCAGAAATTGTTGACCTCCAGAGAAATCCTTTGTGGATTTAGGTGGAATTTGTGCTAGTTTTTGGTAGCTGAGGTTCTGACCCCACAAGTAGTTCTGCAAACTACAGGAGATTTTTTTTTTTAATGCTTAATTTGATTGCTTAGGCAGAAGATGGTCTGAAAAGCAAGTGCTTTATTGTCTTGGCTTCTGCTTGTTCTCTTTCTTCCTTTCCCCTCCACTTTGTCCTATCTTGTTTCCTCCAGACATCCATCTTGAACAGGCATCTCCAGAGTCTGATGGATGGTTTGAGTGCCAAAGTGTTCAGGACCTACAATGCCTCCATCACCCTGCAGGAGCAGCTCAAAGCACTCACTAACTGTGAGTTACTGACAGTGTTCATCATATTTCTGGCTGCAGTGTGAAGGCAGTGGGCTCGGGGATGTCCGTCCATTGCTTTGGGATCCCTAGAACTGCCTGCCCCTTCTTGGCAGGTGATGCATCACATTGTGGGGTGGTATGCAACTTAAGAGGTCATGCAGCAGGTTGAGAACCACACTAAGTGAGAAATAGTTACCTGCTCAGCAATAGTCTGACTAACTGATAGCCAAGATGTATTAACTTTTTTCCCCCCCTTCCTTGTATTGCTGGTTGGTTGCGTTATTTTTGCCTGCTTGAATACAGAAGCGATGAGGCACAGCATTAGATTCAGTGATGCTGAAGTGTCCTTCACAAATAGCAACAACCAATATTGCTCTCCCCGGGAAAGGCAACTTGCTGTTGTTCTGGTCTGTTCCCTGCCTTCCCCAACTCCCAGAAGGAAGACAGAGTGATTCTTCCATTTATTTCCAGCTGAGGACAGAGGGAGAGTGAATAACCTAATGCCTAAAGAGATCGCATAGATCAAGTGTGGCAGGGAATGAACCAGGAGTAGTGACTTTTTTAATTGGTGCAAAGACATCAGCCCCAGGGTGGAGAGGGATGGCGTAAGCTCAAATGCTGGATGAAGCACACCTGGCACAGAATTTGTTTGGTTAAGTGTTTTGTTTTGTTTTTTCGTTGCTTGGTGTCTTCACCAAGCTGGGTGCCTTTCGTGATGGCACAGCTTTGATGCAGTTGGGTAGGGACCATGGTTTTCCCGTCTGGCTTTGCAGGAGGACCAGCTGAAATTTCACAGTTCTGCTATGGAAATATCTCAAATTACTGCTTAAAGTTGTCCTCAGCTTTTGTTCACACTCTACTTGTGAGCTTGGGACTTTGCAGAGACGTCCAGCACTGTCACGAGCCAGTCAGTCTTGGGCAGTTGCACAACACAAACAGATAAGAGCTGCAAATGTTTTTGCTGTCGGTACTGTGAGGAACTTTTGCAAGATGCTAAGAAATGCTTGAGCTCCAGCAGGTGCTGTAGGAGTAAGTTGTTGGGGCTGGAACAGGGCTGGTGAGAAACTGAGTGGTGTGGCAAATGGAAGGGAAAGGAGTAGTCAGCTGAAATTTCCAAGAAGGACAGGAGCATGGGCTGACTTCATATTTACCTTCACAGATCGATGCCAAGAAGCAACAGGTGGAGGAAGCCCAGCAAGAGCTGAAAAAAGCTGAAGAGGAGTTTGAAGACACAAAAGATGCCAAAGCAGAAGCGTAAGTGACTCTTCCCTCTTTGGAGGTATCTCTGGCCTGCAGATGGGGATGGTGCAGTCCCTAGACCATCAGAATAGAAATGCCCTTGTTGAGCATCGGGTGCCTCTTGACCCATGGCAGCCTGGCAGATGGCTGGAGGTCTTGTGGATGGTTCCTTGCAACAGTGGGATTGCAAAGAGCTCCTTCAGGGGGATTTCTTTGCAATAGGGCACACCTCACTGAATCCTGAGACTTCAACCCAAGCTGCTGGGTTGGGAGTTGTCCTATAAATGTCGTGGTTCAAAGGATGCCTAGCTTGAGGTTGGAGCTAGGGATACACACAGACTGCCCTTGATGCGTGTTTTTCTTGTAGGACACTGGAGTGGTGCATTGTGGCCTATCTGATCTCTGCAGTAGTCATTGCATGGCATCTATCCACATTTGCTCCCCTCTCCCAGAGCCCAAATGTGACTTGCTGACCAGAGATGGGAGAAGGCTGGGGGAGAGAAACAAGGGTTGTATTTTGTGTTTTACTTGGGTATTTCTTGTTTTCTGCTCAGGCCTTTTGTTGATGAGATGCAGAGTAAGTTGTCAGAGATGGTTGCTCATCAAGCCTGGATTTGACGAGGTGGTCTTTGGGTGCTGGCTCTTGTGCTTGCCCAGCCTTAGTGGTGGTAATACCATTTTTGAAAGTGTCTTATGAGGACAATATACTTGGGAAATGGGTTAGTGCTGAAAGGTACCTTCCACTTCACCATTCTGCAGTACTTCTAGGTTGAAGCCTTATAGGACTTGAGGTGAGTGTAGAGGCTGCTCTGAGCTGAAGCTTGTTGGCTTCCCATCGTGCTTTCAGGGAGCAGCAGACCAGAACTGCTCTGTATTTCACCTCTACTGCTTCTTCCCCTTTAACTTGCTGTCTATGTTATTCTTCCTCTGCCCTTAGCAATGTGGAGAAGAAAAAGAAGCTGTTGAAGCGGCTGGAGGAGCAGCTGGCCAAGCTGAATGTCCAGGCCACAGATAAGGAGGAGAACAAGCAGATAGCTCTGGGCACGTCCAAGCTGAATTACCTGGACCCCAGGATTAGCATAGCTTGGTAAGTCTTGGGTGTGCTATAGAGCAAATGTTCCTCTAGAGATATGCAGATCACCTAGCACTGCCTGGGGAGGGGGATAAACACACACCTGAGCCTTTGAGAGAAAGGAATAAACTTTGTTTCTGCCCAGAGAAACCTGCCCAAGCCCTGGAGGTGTTCCAGGAGGCCAGCAAAATCCAAAGCTAAGGCTTCCCTTGCTGCAAATAACTGGAAGATGTTCCTTCTGGGTTTAGGGCAAGAAGGGGTCACTTTGCATGTCTATTGGCAGTCACACCAAGTTTAATTTCTTAAGGAGCTTGGGGTTAAGGTATTTGAGTGGGTGAAAGATGCTGCACACTGAGTGGAGAGGACCACTGTGGTGGGAGCAGAGCGGAGTGGGTAGCACATCCCCACTGCTGTCTTGTGGTCTGTACAGGTGCAAGAAGTTTGGCGTGCCCATTGAGAAGATCTACAACAAGACGCAGAGGGAGAAGTTTGCCTGGGCGATCGACATGGCCGACGAGGACTTTGAATTCTGAGGCAGTGCCTTTCATGCTACATCATACTCGTTCGGTGCTATTGGAAAACTTGTTTGAGGTGCTACTGCAGTCGTTGCTGGAGTGGGGTTGGGGAACCGTAACACTCATTCTGACTGTAGTGACGTTGATATGAACTTTTAATTCCTCTTTGGGGTTGCCAAATGCCTTAGATCACTTCTTTCCTCCTCCGGAGTCTAGGAAGAAGATTGAATGAGACTCTTAATTGTGCTGATGAACAAGATTAGACCTAGTCCTATCTCCTAGAGATAGTCTATGTAGTGGAGCTGTACTGCCCTTTTCAGACTCTCCGAATTGGCTTGATGGGGAAACACAAGGCAATGACAGCACTGAAACAGGCAGCTGCAGTAGAAGACCTGGGTCTGGGTCAGGGATGCGCTAGGAGGACGGGAAAACTACCAGAATTTTACATCTCAGGGTATTTTGTGCCACTTCACCTGCAGGAGAGGAGAAAATTGCACATTGTACAAACGTAATCAAAATGGGGAAAAAAATGTTGTGGGAGGGAGCAAATGTCATGGCAGTAGAAAGGAGGGGAAGATGCTGGATTAAAAAGCAGGTTTCATACTAGAGGGATGAAATTCACCCTGACATGAACAAAGCTTACTTCAATCATGCCTATTTGGTTAAACTTTGGCCTGGGAGAGGACATCTGGCTTGGGGCTGTGCTTTCTTTCCGCCAGTTGGCTCTGGCTCAGCTCACTGTATCAGTAGCAGAAACTAAACTGTCCAATCTCAGATTTAGCATTAAGAAATGATGATGCTGGCTGTGGGGCTGGACAAGGTGCTGGTTGGTGGGATGTGAGCATGCTGGAGAGTGGTACCAGTCTTGCCAGAGCTGTGCTTGTGTGGGATAACAGCTTTGTCATCAGGCTGCATCATCCCCAGTCTGCTTCTGCTGGGCATGGAGCAGGCAGGGACCGATAGCATAAACTGTTGGTGCTTGCTCCCTAATTGGCTGCTTTTCAGAGAAAAAAAAAAAGTGATATTGCCATGTACCTGGCAACAGTTAGCCTACATCCCAGTGAATATCAGGTGTGAGCAAGCTGTTGCATTGGCAACAAAGCCTTCTGGCATCTCAGGGCTGATGTTCAGGTCGCTATAGTCCGAAGCTCTCGGTGTTTCGCATGTGTTCATTTACAGCCACTTGTTCTTGTGTTTAAACTATTGCGATTTTGGTTGGAATTCAGGTACTTGAAATGCATTTCATTAAAACTGAAAGTGATTTTTCTGAGTATCGGTGGCTGAAGGCTTTTTGCAGCTCCTCCAGGTTGCAGTTCTGCTGTGAACTGATGTGCAGAGCTCTGAGCCAGGGCGCTCAGTCTCTGTGATGGGGTCTGTGTGTACTCTGTTGTCTGCAGGGGATTAGGCCTGATAGGAAATCCTTTACCTTCAAGCCAAGAGCCTGCCTGCAGATCTCGAAAACCACTTGTGCTTGGTCTCAGAGGGCTCCTAGGCAAAACTGTGCCAGCAAAATTGAATTGCTGCGTGACAGCAGAGTCGTGACGAATGTATGGGGGGGAAAATGCACGAGTGAAGCCAATGCTGGTTTATCTCTCATCTGCACCAGGGTGTGCTAAACCACTTGGCTGAGACATGGCAGCTTGTGAAACTCTAGCTGGACTGTCTTTGCAAGCCCCAAGAGCTCATGTTAGTTTTAATGAGGCAGCTGACTCCTAGAACAGGGATCTGAATCAATCTGGCACATATAGACTAGTTATCAGTTGCACAATAAATAGACAGGAGCTGCCAAGCATGCCTTGACCCCTGTGTTGGATTTGTACCTGTGAAATGGAGGTAACCACTGTGGTCCCAATGGATGGAGATGTTTTCCTGCCCATTCTGCTAAATGCTTTCTGGCTTGCAGAAGAAGTTAAAGTGAATATTTGCCACTGACTGTGGCTTCCATCCCAAATAAAGGAGTAGTTCTAGCCAAGCCCCTAGTGAAATGGTGCTCCTGTTTTCCAGTAGCAGAAAAAAGGAGTAAGACGCAACTGGATGGATGAGCACTGTGAGTGTTTCCATTGAACCAATAGAATTTTTTTTAAGTGTTTCCTAGAGGAAAAACTGTCAAGCAGCATGTGAGAAAGGAGCTGCATTAGTAAGAGCAGCTGCAGCAGTTTGAACAGCTGCTGGGGGAGCAGTGGAAAAATCACCCCAGGAAGCAAACCCTGCTGCAGCCTTGGGGGGAAATGAGTAACTTGGTCCTTGGCCTCTCCTCAGCAGGTTCCCATCAGGGCTGGGTTAGTGGGGTGGAAAGGTTGAGTGTCTTACATGGCCCTCTCCATCCTCACCCTGTTTTTTTGCTGGGGTGGTGGATCCACAAAGTGGGTGCTGGCAATATTTCACCTTCACAGGGCCGTTCTTTCCTCAACAGCTTCCCTGTCTCTACCCAAGCATCCTGCTTCTCTCCAAAAGGCCATGCTTGGAGCATAATTGAGGTGGTTCAACTCCAGCGAGAGCTCAGCTAATGAAGCTGGAGGTCTTGTGTTTTTCTCTTGTACAGCAGGAGATGAGGAGGGCTGGGCTGGCAGATGGCCTCTGTGCAAGACTGAAGGACTTGTTGGCTATGCTCAGATGCTCTGAATGTCAGGGCTGTGAAGACCTGCCAGTGTCAGCTAAACAGTAATTACTGGCTGTTCGGTAGGAGCTTAAGCGTCCTTTCCCTGAAGGGTGTGTTGTCCTATGATCCAGTTCTACAGGGCTCAACCATTTCTGTAAAAAGGTCTTAGCGAGACCAGATATTTGAAATCCCAGTGCATGGCAGGTATTAAGCAAAAGCAAGGTGGAGAGTTCACGTGTTTTTCCAGGTATCAAATAACTCACACTGGGGTGAGTAACACAATGTATTTGAAACAGCTAAGCTTTAAAGGGAATCTGATAAGTCTGGGGAGTGTCCTCCTGGCCCTTAGCCATAAGCAAATGAGATACAGGTTGGAGGAGTTGAGCTACTTGCCAAAGATATAGCAGTGGCATGAAGCAGCAGTCTGGCCTAATGCCCTCTCCTTCTCCTGTTCCCCTTCTGCAGGGGAATCTCTTTTCTGGCACTTGGAGCATCTCCTGCCCTTCAGAATCACAGAATAGTAGGGGTTGGAAGGGACCTCTGTGGGTCATCTAGTCCAATCCCCCTGCCCAAGCAGGGTCACCCAGAGCAGGCTGCACAGGACCTTGTCCAGGTGGGTCTTGAATATCTCCAGAGAAGGAGACTCCACAGCCTTCCTGGGCAGCCTGTTCCAGTGCTCCGCCACCCTCAGAGGGAAGAAGTTCTTCCTCATGTTCAGGTGGAACTTCCTGTGCCTCAGTTTGTGCCCATTGCCCCTCCTTCTTCACTGACGTTGATGTATGCAGAGTTGTTTCTCTCACGTATTCTCACTTCTCTCCCCAGCTGCAATTGCCCAGTTTTGCTTTGTTTTTTTCTCCCCTCCATAAATATGTTATCCTAGAGGCACTACCACATTGCTGATTAGCTCAGCCTTGGCCAGCAGCGGGTCCCTTTTAGAACCGGCTGGCATTGGCTCTAATGGACACAGGGAAGCTTCTAGCAGCTTCTCACAGAAGCCTCCCCTGCAGGCCCACCACTACCAAAACCATGCCACGCAATACGCTTCTGCAGTGAAGTGCCTGTTAGGCACAGAGAAACTTGTGCTTTGATGCCTAAGACACTAAATAGCCCAAAGTCAAGATACTAGCATTTTGCCAGTATTTGGCTAATGAAATATGAAGTCAAAAGCTTAACTTTTTTTTTTTTTCCTTTGTAATGACTTCCTTTTTCATTTTAATGAAAAAGAAAATTGCAGAAAGGGAAGATCTAGTTTCGGGCAAAATCAGAAGTGGTACCTTCTCCTATAACAGAATCACAGAGTGTTCAGAGTTGGAAGGGACCTCTGAGGGTCACCCAGTCCAACCCCCCTGCTGAAGCAGGGTCACCCAGAGCAGGCTGCACGGGACCTTGTCCAGGCGGGTCTTG